CCCCTCCCACAACACAGTGGACACATACCGTCACATCTGACCTTGGCTGTCACGAGGTCACAAATTTTTTCCTGCAAAACAGAAAATGACAGAATATCGCGGCGTTAAATTCGCCGGTACTCATTAAAACACCTGAGAGGCACTGTGTACACCGCCGGCAGCCGCATCAGCCACTTCGTTAAGAGTTCCTTGAGAAGAGAATTTGGCCTCATACGTTAAATTTTTGTATCTTCTCGTCATCTGTTTTCCTCTTCATTCATAATTACGGTTGTGAGGAAAAATAACATGTTCATCAACTTTTTTTCAGCAAGGTTTATGGTTAAACCTTACCTCAACTGACGACTCGCGGAGTCGAACGTTGTCGATTAACCAAGGTGTTTGAGGAAGAGTTCGTGAATACTTATTGTATCTCCCTAAAATCCACAGAAATATAATTAAAAAAAACAAATCAGTATGTGAATGATCTCTTCCCAAAGTCTTTCATCTCGTCAAATGCAACCTCCGTTTAAATTTTTTTCTGGGAGAGGGTTACAAGTCATTTCGGCTCGACTGAAACATATTCCATTCCACCTACAGATGGGGAAGCCCATACTTTTTTCTTTGTTTCCCTTATTCACAATAGTGACAAAACAAACACTTTCCTTGGTATGTTTATTGTTTACAAACCTGCAATATAGATGGAATCGTGAGCACACGTTATCTGTGATAACTCCATGGTGAACTGAGGTGACTTAGGAGGGCAGTCGGTGACTCTAAAGGAAATACACAAGAATAGTAACAAAGGGATAACAGACAGGGGTATGAATTGGAGTGGAAATTTTCTTTATCTTGTTTACTCGACGACCGGAAAAAAACTTAAAAGAGGAAAATTATTTTCGAAAATCCTGAAAAAGAAGAAGGCATGACGCAAGGGCAGGAAGTAAAGAAGAAACAGAGATAAAAAAAAATAAAATCGATATAGCTGCATTGCCAAAGCGTTTATCAATAACTAGTGTCAAAGCTACCTTTTCAGGCGATCAACAGTTGTAAGTTCTGCGAGAGCTTTGTTGACAGATGATGATGAAATTCTTCCTTCCTCTGGTTTGTTCTGACAGAAAACCAAAGAGTGTTGAGAGTCATACGGGGTTTCTCTGGTTTTGCTTTACTTCTCTCCGTGATTGGTCCACAAAACTTGCAGATTCCTCGCAATCAATTAAAATTCAACACTAAAACCAATCGCGACTTGGTCACCCGGGTTTTCCCGCGCTTTCAACACTTTCCTTGTTTTTACTTTATGCTCTTATCGGTGGCGGATCCAGGGGGAGGGTCCGGGGGATCCAGACCCTCCTATCAGACCTGACGCTTAAAACTTTGAGACTGAAATTCTTACATCCGCAGGATCGTATAGCACTTTTTAATTGGCTGATTTTTTAAATTAATGAATCCAAGTAAACGGTAAGCGGCCAAGGAATTATAACGTGCAACCGCGACTGGTGGGAGGGGGTGTGGGGGAGAAGTAATTTGCCTCAAAAGAGTCCAACAGTCCTTTCTGAACCAAAGTTTAGACCCCCCCCCCAATCAAAAATTCCTGGATCCGCCCCTGTCTTATTGGCTCTTTGTGATCCCTCTAATTGGCTGTTGCGGTTCTTATCAAATATTTCTGGGTTAACGACGCTCACTTCCATTGCGCTTAATAGTTGAGAACCAAAAGAGTATTACTACCGAGACCAGAATTTGATTCACTTTAAATCTTTCCCTATTTGAAAAAAATTAAGCCTTATCCGATGCATTTTATTTAATTAATTTGTCTTCCACTCATTGACATACTCTGAAGCAATAATAATCAAAGTGAATTGAAAATAATTTTAAAAAAAATTGAACCACCACAAACACACTTTTAATGATAATCACCCCGCAGCATACTCGTTGAAATTATTTCTTGTTTCAAAACGAAGTGAAGACATAAATCTAAGCAATGACTTACTTCTATTTTGTGTCGTTTTCTCCGATGTCGTAGCCTTGACTTGGATGAATCATTCCTGCTCATTACAAGAAAAAAAGGTACAAATCTTTCATAAACCAAAAACCTTGTCAAAAAGCTTTCTCAAAAAAAGCTTTCAGGCGGCTTACCTAAGGGTATATACTTACCTCATCAAATTTCTATGCTTGAGAAATTATACATACTAATGTAAGAATTATTTCCTGTTGCAGAACTACCTCTCTTGTTGACATTTGAAGAAAAAAGAAAAGAAATCTTATCTTCATTGTTTACTTAATAGGTACATGCAAGTACTTACAGAAACTCAACCTCTCTGTCTGCATCTCTATGGGTAAAATCCAGTAAAATCTTAAAGGGGCTCTGAAGAAAAAAAGAAAAAATTCTAACAAACATTCAAAAGTGTTTCTAAGAGCCAGAAAAACTAATGCGCAAATTTTGAGTTGCCGATGAAGATTCAGGGCTTTAGAATTTGAAGTCACACCCTTTATCACTGGCCAAAAACTTGACTGTATAGCAGTCTTTGTCTTTTCTTTTTAGTCCAATAGGAGGAGTGTGTGAGCTGATTGCAAGTAATATGAAGGCACAGCACAAAGGGGGAACAAATATATCGAGGGAATGGGGGGAGGGAAAGAAAGGTTGTGCTCTGTTCATGTATGACAAGCATGCTGCACACTGTTAGAGTATTCAATGCCGAGCATGTGAAGTGCGTGAACCAAGAAAAGAGGATGGTAAACTGCAAGCTTGGTTATCAAATATAGAGAAGGAGCACAAGTTATTAAAAAATCCAATTTTCTGCCACTGACTTTATGGTCCAAAACAACCTGCAGGACCCTTGCACAATTTTTTTGGCCTCCCTGACCTTGTTCAGTTCTCCCTAACCTTCTTGTCTTCTGTTTCTAGTTTATATTGAAGTTGATACCTGGTCTCCTTTCTTTAACTTACCAATGCCTTGTAATTAACTTGTAATCTTTCCTCTAGTTTTGGACCATGAACCCATTTGAACACATCCTTAACTCTTGGGATCTCATCCAGTTCCCTACTGTCAAATGCTGAACTGTGATATACAACAAAAGAAAATAGCTATTATTGAGCATAAATAACAATATTCATACAAGATTATCAAACAAAAATACTACTTAGAAAAACACCCTACAGGAAAACAAGAGGTAGGCCCTCTTGAAAATTTTCCTAAATAAACATTTTAAACTTAGGGTAAGGGTTGCAAATTGCAAAAAGATGTGTAATGCATACAATAGCCCCCCTCCCTCCCCCAGTCAGAGGACAGGTCAGGGCTGGACACTAACGGTAGCACACTAGCCACAGACTGGTAGAAATTCAGTTTTGGCTAGTGGTTTTCAATTTCCACTGGCCAGTTTGGCTAGTAAACAGACTGAAATTGTAGTAAAAACATCTAAGATGTCACAAGCCACTTGGCTAGTAAGTTGAAAAGTTAGTGTAGAGCCCTGCAGGTACATTTTGAGGAAGTGCCTCTGGCTACTTGTACCTTCCAATAGTCTGTTCACAGCGTTTTTTTTTTTTTTTTAGCTACGTGAGGAAGCCCTCTCCCTACAGGTCACCCTCTGAACTAAAGACCAAAGAGATAATTCAAGGTCTGTGAAGAACTGTCAGTGCAGATTAAAATGCCTGCAACCATTACTAATCATAAGTCTTCCTGCTACAGTTGAATCAAATGTTAAAAAAATTATGGAGTTAAAGAGAGTCATGACAACACATACCTGTAGTTTTCTTGGAGAAATATGGATAATGAGTGCTATAGACAAAATAAAAAAGTCTCTTCTCAGATATGTCTCAATAAAAGTACTTGCAATCACACTTTGAGCTTTATACTGTCTTATTCTTGTGCAAAAGTTTTGGATTTCACTTGTTGTGACAACAAGTAAATAGGCTATCTTCAATCGACTATCAACAAAATAATAAGTACTATCTCTTAAAATTGTTACTAGCCACAAAAATTCTACTTAGTGAATGATCTAATTTGGAAAGTACAGACAAAATTTGATACTGATTTAATTAATGTATAAAGTACTTATTGGACCATACCTGGCGAAGAGTCAAAGAATGCGACACAGAAATAGCAAACATAAAACTCTCAAACTGATGACCACTACTCCTGATGGCTGATTGTATCTAAAACAAACAGAGAAATACTGCCATATGATAATCACTTCTCCCAGCACTTTTGATATTTCAGGCATAACAGTTTTTTTTCAAGACTATACCCTAACCTGGACAACCAGATTGCATGGACAACTGTTTTTGTAAGGTTTTAAATCCTTTAAAAGATCATGACTAAGAGCAAAATATGTTTCTGTGTAGCCTGCACCCACAGGGACTTTAGTCAAATGTTTTTCAATAAAATCATGCTCAGAACTTCAGCATTTTTTGTACCCTTTTTTAAAAAGGAAAGAAAGAAAGACAAACTAGCTCTACCAGGGCTTGACACTAACTTTTCAACTTTTACACACTGGCCAAAACTGAATTTCTACTAGTCTGTGGCTAGTTGGCTAATGTTGGTGTCAAGTACTGTCTGTATATAAGATTGTTACTTTCTTGATTGTTACTTTCTCAAGAACAAGAATACTGACAGGATATCAATTTGACTTATCTCAATGAATTTATAACACATTACCTTATCAAGAAAAGCAGTTTCAGTACTCTTTTCCAATATACCAAGACAAGCTACACAAATGCTCTGCATTTCTCTCTAAAGAATGGCATACAATAGAACATAATTTCACATGGAACAAAGAACTTAGCAATTTGTACTGTATCAGCTACTTCACACGCATGCCACAATGAAAAATAAATGGATAAGTAGATAAATAAATAGAATGAGAGATCAAATATTGATCAGACAATAGAAATAAAAGTATTTACTATAGAAGTAAAACTACTTATAATGGATTTAAAACTCTGTACAATAAATGATAAAGTCATGTATGAATAAAAATGTTGACAAGAAAAGAGATATTCATGGATACTTTGCAGTCTTGAAAAGACGGATTTATTTTCCAAAACTTTCCTATAAGTGTTAAGGTTGGATGACGCTTGTATGAGATCAAGTAAACTAATAATCATAATCATGATAACCTCATTCTTTGCACCATTACCTTTACCCTTTCACGACCAAGATCTCTAAAGGAATTCTCCTCACTGTCTGCTATACAATTCTTATAATGTTAATGAGGAGAATTTGGTATTGGATCAACCAATTATTCACCTGATTTAGATTTTTGTACATTCTCACTACTTTTCTGCTTTAAAATGTATTGATATTGTAATGAGAAATTCTGTCTTGGTCATTCGATCATGGGAATCAAAGGGTTAAACCAGTGGAGGCAGATTGAGAGTAAGTAAGAGATGAGGATCAGGGAGATGGGCAACTCAACAAAACACACCGCCAAAACAATCCACTGTACCACCACACACTTTTACCAAAAGTGTAAACGCTTCAGGGTATACCACGAGGGCACTCCATTGACAACTAATAAGATACGGTACGACTTCAGCGTTTTACCTCAACACTGTCTTGGTATAAATCGATGTTCCTTTCTCCAAGCAGTCGTAAAATGCATCGTGGGCAACAAGGCATTTCCTTGAGGGCTTCGTCAACAGACAGACTGTTTTCTTCCTTAAAAATCACATATCATGTTAAAAATTAATTTTAAAACTAAACAAAACAACCAATAAGAAAATAGAGCTCCCCGTATAGAAAGTGATATGGCATAAAACTCCCCGTAGGCATCAGGTAAAACATATCAGCTGCAAAAATTAGACCTCAACATTAACTAAAAGCATAAAAAAAAAAACAGAAATCATTTACTTACCTTCGAATCGTCCGCCATCATTTCTTTCGTTAACCGCTGATCAATCAATTAAAGACCCAATACGACGCGCGGTTACATTAGACAGCAACAAACATGGCGTCTTGCCGTGTCATTTGGGGAAGACTTTTATCATCTGCGAGTAGACGTCAAATTTTACCCCTCACACATCGTTACATTTATTTGACAGTCCAAAATTCACCTTTCGTTAGGAAGTTTTCTTCAGCAGAGGAAGGAAACAAAGCAGATTCCCAAGACTTGCAGCTGAGTGACAACTGCGTAAAGGTCAAGATTGTGTAACATTTTTCCTAACTTGCAAATCTTACAAACTAAAAGAACGGGAACCATAGAGATATCTATAGTCATGGCGGCAACAGTTATCTGTTTCTTAATAGGTTTTCATTCCCTTAAATTCAGCTGGGATTTCAAGGGTTGAAAGAAGTATCAAATTAATTAAAAGTAAGCTTAATAAATGTAATATTATGACCCAAATGACCAATCATTTAATTTTTTTTTAAATAGCCTGTTTTCTGATCAACAATTTCAAGGATTCTTTTATCACTTAGAGTAATCATTTAATTTTTTTTTATTATTATTTTGATTAACAGCAACTGAAAAAGATTTTCCCCGATGACAAAGAAGGATTTCTTCGTGTAGCAGTTGAGGGAGGTGGCTGTTCAGGGTTTAAGTACACCTTTGATGTTGATTCTGATATCAGCGAAGATGATAGGTTCGTTTTGTTTTTCCTTTTTATTAGTTAACACTGGAATGAAAAATTGAAGACAAGGCTAAAATGAAGCCACCTTTAAGTCTGCCGAAACCTTTATACCCCAACATCAGCATGCATATTATCCATACTGTTCTCTATACATTTCCTGAGGACCTTTACACCCTAACATCAGTAGACATATTCTCCATACTGTTCTCTACACATTGCCTATGGTGCTGACAAGGAGAATTTGTTTAACAATCAAGAGATCCTTTTGATGGCAATTATTTCCTTTATTTTCATGAGGTGAACCCTTTAACTCCCAAGATCTAATTCTTAATTCTCCCCTCTGGTTGCGACACATTTCTTTGTAAATTAGTTATGAGAATTTGGTGTTAGATCAAGATAACTTGTACCTGATACATATGTGTTCTCATTAACTGTTTGCTGGATAGTGTATGGATAATGCAAGGAGAAATTAGCTGTGAATCCCTTCTGGGAATTGAAGGGTTAATGTTTGATTCAGAGGTGATGCTGTAAGGAGAAGGTTGAGGTTTAACGCAAATCAAGCCTGACAATGCAAACTTGTAATGTGAAGTGAACTTCTTTTCTTTCCATTACTTTCTCTTTTAATTCTATATTCAGTCTTTTTTTTTTCAATAGAATATTTGAAAGAGATGGTGCAAAGGTTGTAATTGATGAAATTTCTCTGGAGTACCTGAAAGGTTCCACAGTGGACTATCATGAAGAACTCATTCGCTCAGCTTTTAGAATTTCACTCAACCCTAATTCTGAGAAAGGGTGTTCCTGTGGTGCATCATTTACCTTCAAACTTTAACAAAACTGATGTACTGTATGTTCTCAGGTTAACACCACAATGTATATTTGATTTGTAACATTTACAAGGAGGGATTCCTTCAGAGCGGCATTTATTTCAAACTCATCCTGATATAAATTACGGTAAATGATTGGAATGGAAACATAACTTAAAACAGAAACAATTATTTAGTTGCAATTTCACACTGTTTTTGTGCATATTTCTATTTCCCAATATTGGTGGGTATGGCACTCTCCTATGGCTATCATTTATTGATAACAGTTTGTTACTCCCATACCAAATGAGGAGAAAGAGTCTGGTAAAGTAGAAATCAACTGCTTGAAAGGTAACACTATATCCTTAAATAGCTTAAGTGGCCCCACTGAGAAGGGAAAGACAGCTTTCTGTTTGAGGATTTTTTAAAGAAGGCCATAGTTTATAAATCAAATATAAAAAGAACTCTTTGTTTTTGTAGAACACATTTTAAAGTACATCATTATTTGGTCAGGTCCCTCTCTTTGATAAAAAATATTAATGACAACCAATCAAAACTTAAGTCTTTATTTTGGAAGGTTATTTAGACAAGAAGTAAGGAATTGAAATTTAAATTTAGTGACTCAACTGATGAGGACAAACTGGAAAAAAGTAAAATAGTAGCTGTAAAGTAAAGTTCCTCTCTTTGGATTGAATGGATTTGATAGGACAATGTCATTCTTGTAACAATATTGGAGGGATATTGTTGATAAGAACGATGCAAGAAGAGAGTTTCAGTGAGTCCACACGTGTTTTTACAATTGCCGATTAACAAAGATAACTTTATTCCCCAAAGCAAGGTCATGACGTAAGTGTCACGCATAACGTAATACACATTGTAACAATTCTCAGATCTGGGCATCACCCACTGATACTGAGAGGGTGGATCAGTTTTCAATAGTCAAAGTCTAAACAAGAGAAACCTCAGGATTTGTACATTATTTATTGAAATAAGGATTTTTCTTGCTACACTTGTATTAGTTTGCCCAGCTAAGCTGGATTTCCACTGTCACAAACCAACTGTACCTGACTTACAAATAAAGTTTACAGGAAAACAGGTGTAACAATTAATATCGGTGTATTAAGCTGAAGAAGAAGAGGGCAAAGTGAATTGAGCAACTTCAAGATGGCAGTCTAACAACAACACATTTTTTAATCATATTCAAAGCGTGGCTTACTGACGTCACAGTTTACAACATTGTCACAACAGGAGGGTTTGTGTTTCTTTTTTCCTTTTCTTTCAGTGATTTGTAATTTAGTTCCCTAGATAAGCTTTGAAATCCAAACCCTCCCTTCACCTTTTGGCACCTGTATGGTGCCCCTAACAGGACTGATGTTTATACCCCTCTCACTGTAGACCAGTGACCAGGAGATCTGGACGGTTTTTAAGGCTGTAAAGGTTCGGTCTTCCCTGAAAACTATCAGAACAAGGAGTCGTGCTACTCCCCTAAAAATAAGTCTAGTTTACTCTCCCCCCCCTGGAATTGTACTTAATTTTCCTGGAGGATAACCATTAACCATTTGCACTTCTAAGTGTCCTTTGAATTCTTACTTAACACCACAGCAAAATTAGGATCTAGTTACAGCTTGCATTTAGTTTACTCAATCCCTGGTCTGGTGACAGCATGTGCTGTTGATCTTTCAAGGTGCTAGAAATTACAAATTAGGCCTTGCAAATTGTCACACAATTATTTCTCTTTTAATTAACAAATCATCACGGTCACTTTTAAGATCTAGGTGCTATTTTTCTTTGTTATTTTACCATCACAGTTTATTTTGTTTTTGTCAGTTCCTATGTGCATTTTAAGCATTATTTTTGATGACCTCAGCTCAGTTACATTTTATTCTTTTCCACTGTCTTCATGAAGTTTTTCTCAGCATTGCCTGCACGCCATATTTTAGGCGTTCAGACAGCACTTAACCACAAAACTTTCTCTGTGCACAACACCATTTACTTTACACAGTTATTTGCATATGGCGTCTGAGCTTACAATTTTTCTCTCAGATTTTCGTTTTAAGTGGCCATAACAAATTGAATGTAAATGCACCAAGTCTTTACCATTTGCTTCTTCATATTTAAATTATAATTTAATCATAATTCAGCTATTTCAATGTTGTCGTTTTAATCTGAATCTACATTCTACCCACTACAACCAAGTCTATCACATTGTTAAAGTCCACTACCACTATCCATTTCAACAATACCACCAAAAAATGAATGATAGAACATAATTCAGGAAAATCAAAGATCCTTGCTTTCCTTGATTTTCATCCACAAGTCAAATGAGACTTATTTCACATAAAATTGTGAGAACAAAGAAATCTTCACATATTCATTTGTTTTGTCTCTAATCAATTCAGCAAATTTAAAACCATAATTTATATTAATAATAACTTTGCAATAATTTAATTTCATTCAAAAGTAAATTAAATAATGCATATTTTTTTTGTTGTGCTTTAATTAACCAATCATTTTCTCTGAGGAGTTTGTTTTGAAAGAACCAGTAATATTATTCATGCAAAATTTCAGCATGATCAGCTGTTAGCATGTCAATATATTTTGTTACTCTTACAGGGCCGAGACTTAAACATAGTTGTATATCATTAGAGAGTAAACAATATAATTGCATTAACCAACAAAAAAGTGAGGCTAAAAGACAGCCCTTGAGGCAAGAGGGTATTATTCAATGACATAACATTATCTTTAATAATTTATGGGGATTAAAGTCAAACAGCTTTTGGAAGGCTTCTGTTTGCTTCTCACAATTTGATTCTTATTGAAAGTTCTCCTTCCAAATACTAATCAATTACACTTTGGACTAAAAGAAATATCACAACTGTATCCTCAAACATCCCTGATGATATAATATTTTTAAATTTTTTGAAGTTTTGAAAATAATGACTGCAACTAGTTTATTTACATATTTCCTAAAGAATGAGAAAATATGTAAACTAACTTTAAATTAGTTTATTTTTTCATTTCTTTTCTTTTTTCTTTTACATTAAATACAACATAATTCTCAAAGTAAATTTAAAAAACTGGAAGACCACTTTACAAATGGCCCTTTCTTAGGGTAAAATAGTTGGTTTACTCAGAACCGATTGTAGAGTTGTTTTAAAAAATCATCACATTTTCTGTTTATGTCCACCAACTAAACAATAATACAATTTTGACTCCATGATGTTTGGGATCAATATTGTTTATTTCAACAGAAACATTGGGCCTTTTATATAACACTCGAGATAGCTTTCATAACCTTTCAACACTTAACCAGTAAGTCACAATTACCCAGTGCCACTCTTTGAAAGAATACCATCAAATTGATATCGGTACACATCAACCTATGTTCATTTTACATCTTAAGAGAGACTGCCAATATAACGAGTTCTTCTCCACACTTTGGTTAGTTCAAATCTTTCCATTACTCCTCTGTACTCTTTGGCTTCATTGCCTTCCTCTTCATCCTGGCATATGGTCCAATTGCTGGATCAGTGATGAAATCAAAAAGTACTTTTGTCCAAGAGTGATGTTGTGGTAAGTTGTTGTAGTACTCTGATGCAATCTCTTTCACCAAGGGTAGTCGGGACCCAGGAATGCTTGGAAAATCGTGATGCTCATTGTGGTAACCAACATTGAAAGTGACCATGTTCAAAGGGCCATAATATGAAAAGGTTTCAAAACCCTTGGCAAACATGTAATGCTCGGAGATAAAATGCCCAGCTACTGGTTGAAGCCCCATACCTAAAAGCGAACTTGCAATCATGTATACAAGTGCCTTTCCACCCCAATAATGCACAATAACTGCATCAACACCAAACTGAAGTACAATGTTGAAGATTTCCAAAGCCAAAGGATTCTTTGGGTTAACAAACATTGGGCGGAATGAGTAGAAAAATGGTTGAAATACAACCCAGAAAAATTTGGTTATGGTGTTGAAAAACAAACGGGCTTCAAATTAGGTGGGCAAGTCCACATCCAGTTCCTCATCTCCTTGGTACCTGTGATGTTCCAAGTGATACTTCTTAAAGGCGATGGCACATGGTACCCCAATAGGAAAGTTTACTATGAGTGAGAAGATTCGGTTGTGGATGGGTCTGGCATGACCAAACGCCAAGTTGTGGGAGATCTCGTGTATAGCTAGGAGTAATGCATGGTTGATGACGCCACCAATGAAATAAGCAGCCAAAAAGATAACCGGCCAGGAGAAATCTTTCAGCACATAAGTTAATGTGAACTGAATCACAATTAAGAGCAATACTTGGTACTTGAAGTTTGGATCATAGCCCATTAACTTCTTGATCTGGGGGTACTTTGCTAATGAAAGAAAAAAAGAAGATATTTAACATTTTAAACAGGAAGGTTACTGGTAAATAAACACTTAATGTTGATATTAGGAGAAAATAAATGGTAATTCTAGGTTCTGTCAAAGAGAACATATGACACCCTTGCCACTTGAACGTTGATAAAAAAAAAAAACCTGCATTGATCATAGAAATATCTGAAATCAACAGAGAAATGAAATGGTAACCATGTTAAAATAAAAAAAACTGCAATTAGTGGGAAAATAAAGACATATTCTTCCCATGGTCTCTAGATCTGGCACAAGATCTCCAGTAAGACATTCCTTATTTATTTGAAAGACCTAAATACAATCACTTTTACCAAAGAGGTGAAACTTTATTTGCTGTCAGAACAATATAAGTAACTTGAATATAAATGCTAGTCCTTGAATCACCTAATAATATTACAATTTCTATAAAGTCTAGTTTATTTCTCTCTTCTGCTCCTTTTAATAAAAGACTAGCTTTAGCTGGGTAGTTATTGTCATTGTTTCTCTAGCCTCTAGGCTCTAGGCTCCAGTAAAGATTAACCTTTGCCTTTTCAAACTCTGCCAGTTAATATATAATTTTTCACTTTATATCAATGTAATATCAATTCTTGAGAGTGATAAAAGATGTGTCGTTTTTGTTGTTGTTGACACAGGAAATAGCTACCTGGTATTGTGGCGAAAAAAGAGAGTACCCTGTCTTACAAACCGAGATCTTCACACTAAAGACAAGGAGTGGTTTTGCTATATTTTTGCATATTTTGCATGTGTGAATTTCAGTTCGTTTATAAAATATTTGATGAACTTTCCTCACTTTATTTAACTTTTCATTCTAGACAGAGGATGGTTTGTTTTTGGGATGGTTTGTTCAATTGAAGCTTGATAGCTGTTGGGAATTTTTCAAGCATAACGGAAGATGATCGAGCCAAAGGGATGGTATTGTTTCATTCTTTCCATGTCATACAGTCCGGCTTAACATTGAATAATTCGTGTCGTATTCGTACAGCTTGGAAAATCGGAATTCAAACTGTCAGCAACGAAGCAGTCGCGACTAACAAGGTCGATCTTGAGATTTTAAATGGTTCAAATATTTCAGATGGGACACGGAATTTGAAATTGATAAAAAATCACATTACTTATTACCCGACGATTGTTTCGCAATTCATCTTCTATTGCATAACATGGTCAGTGGAGTGAAAATCGATTGAGTTAAGAAATGCACTTCTGCATCGGTTTTCTAGTTTAAATTTCTGAGAAAAGGGTCGATAAAGTCGTGGAAGAGTCGATCATTTAGTGGTTGCATTTCATACTATATCAAACCAAGTGAAGAACGACCATGAGCTCCCAAGCTAAGCGATGCATTTACCGGCGTTTCTCTCTCACTAATTCTTAAAGCAGGGTGACATTTTCGATTTCAGGACTTCAGGAGAAAATAACTTTCTTAAGACCATGAAAAAGTCAGCTTAAAAATAGTTATCAGTGTGAACTTGTGCAGGCAATTCTTTCCGCGTGCAAAATACAAATATTTTCCGCCAAAGGAAACAAGCGCAAAATCTGAAAGCATTCATGTCCTCCCTTGGGGCGATTAAAAGAGACGAGCTTGATGCTTGGATTTCTTACCTAAAATTTCCTTCCTTCTTGAAGCATGTGGTTCGGCTGTGTATGACCAATCGAAGTCAGTTCTCGATACACGTCCTCCCATTTTGTTCTCACTACTGGTAAACCCAACGTCGGATGACAACGCCTCGATACCCTTGAACAGTTAGGCCGTAACGAATCAACTGAATATGAATACAAACCTACTAAGGGGGGTGTGGGGATGAAATTGCGAAAGTTTGTACCTGTCACAAAAAAAACCGCAGAGCTTATAGGTCAATCTTGTATCAGCAGTTATAAAAGCTGTTTTCCTGCTTAGTTGTTAAGATCTTTAAGATGTCTATGGTATAAAATATTACTGCAATTGCGTAGCCTGCGTAGCGGCCCTAGGGCCCCTTCGCAGGCTAGCAATTACGCAGTATATTTGCCAATGCGTCATTGCCTTCGTGACAAAGCCCTTGCCCCTCCCGTCTGGTTAGCCAATCAACCGGGGATTGTCAGATGGTATCAAAGTACATTTTTAAGACCTTCTGCGCAAATAGTCAATAACCGAGATAATTCATCTTGAAAAATCTCGGAAAGTTTTTCGTAAAAACACCCATTACACGCGCTAATACTTGCAAACTGGGATCAATGTAAAATTTTGGAAGTTCAAAGTACAGAACACTGACCCACAGACCGCGAATCAGTGAGCATCGGTGTGCATCACGTGTGAATGAAATAGAGAATTTGTCACCTGATCGTATGACAATGGTGATCATCCAGGCATCTATTGATCAATTATACACTACAGTGGCGCATGCCACGGCAAAAGACGCTGAGCCTTTTTCTTTTACCGCGGATTTTTTTCTTTTGCTGCGAGTCTTGGATCAGTGTTTGTTTCTCTGCAACCGAACTCAGTTCTGCGAGTCTTTTCACTTAACGGTTGGGAGTTTTATTTCGCCGACAGTCGAAAGTGGTTGCCGAGGGTCGTTTTGTTTTTGCCGTGAATTTTTTCTTCAATTTCGTGAAAACTTCTAGATTTTCCCGACACTTCGAAAAATTGCCAAACCTGGAAATATGAGCGAGCCTTTGAAAGGGTCACCCTGAGGTGCTGTAGCTAACCCGAAGTAAGAGCGTGGAAATGATGGAACAGAGAATTTACTCTGAAGCGTAAATTAAGTGCTAAATGAAACCCATGAAAAACCCACTGAGCGTTAGCCCTAGTAAAGGGTATCACGGAACCACACGAGGTAAAGACAAAATTCTTGTGACCTCGGTGGGAATCAAACCCGCTCAGTGGGTTTTTTGGGTTTCTTCTAGCACTTTAATTTACGCCTCAGTTCCATCATTTGTGTTCTCCGTGCTACACAACAATTATAAGAGCGTGGAGGTCTGGGTATGAGTTCCACCGAATGCGAGGACTGGTAATTTCCAAGATGGCCACTTTGGTTGTACGACGGATTCTAAACAAATCTCTCTTCTTCGGACCCTCTGCAGCATGTCTTTCAGCCAAGTTACGTCTCTTCAGTAACCAAGCAGCAATATGGACAACAGAAAAATTCGATGAAGTCGTAAAGAAGGATAAAGTAGTGGTTTTTATGAAAGGTGTACCTGAGCAACCAATGTGTGGCTTTAGCAATGCCGTTGTTCAGATTCTCCGGATGCATGGTGTCGAAGGTTATGGAACTTACAACGTACTAGAAGACGAGGAACTGAGGCAGGGAGTGAAAGATTATTCGAGCTGGCCGACAGTTCCCCAAGTCTACATTGGAGGAGAATTTATCGGTGGATGTGATATTATGTTACAGCTGCATCAACAAGGTGAATTGATTGAGGAACTGCAAAAAGTTGGAATAAGATCTTTGCTGTTGGATAAAGCCGACGACGAGAAAAAAGACACTTAAGCTTGAGAAGCTTGTAAAAAATTATTCGATACTGGTTGAACATTGCTTTGAACAATTTAGCTCATCCACGATTAAAAACGATGACGTAATAATTCTCAGAAGGTAAATTTAAAGAACTGAGCGACTACTGTCACCGAAGTTACTTGCACCAGACAGTCCGATAAATATTTATGTTGCGCAAATTAACATTGGGATATGATCAAATGCGCATTACAATGTTTTTCGAGGGACTTAACAGACTGCTTGAGGCAGTTTACAACTTTTGTGAAGACTGATTTTAACTGATGCCCCCAATTTTATTAGTAAACAGGCCAGACCACAACACCAGAAGCTATATTCCCTACTCTTTGCAATAAGTGTGTTGGTTCTTTAACGTCCCCTGCTAACTAGTACAGAGAAGATGCAGTCCAATAATGGGAAATGACAAATGACTCCATTCAAGTTCTCTGTCATATTTGCTTGCCCTGGTTCCAAGCACTGATTGTCACAATTGAACTCAATAGCTCAAATTGTTGTCCATTTCCCATTATGTGGTTGGTTTTAAAATTTGGTGTACATGAAACTGTTAGGGCCTGGCCTCATTATCATTGCTATGTTCCTCTCAGGCCCCTTGCTAGCTTGTGTTTGTCAAGGCCTCATCTTTTCCTTCCAAACACTCGTGACAAAGTACTAATAATGAGGTCCTTCTCTAGGGTAGCGTGTGATATGCATATTCTGTAAACATAATGCAAGATAAGATATCCTGCTCAAGAGTTTTGATGTTATTGCAAAGCAGAATTACATTGTAGTAAAAACTTTTAAAGGCCTTTTGTGTCATGAGTAATGAATGTTGAGATCCATGGAAGCACACTACTTTTTTTACACAACATTGCTTATGATGTCATCAGATTCATCCAATATAAAATTAATACAAAAGTTTCTTAACAAAGCAACATTCAACTCTGTTGTTGATTTAAGGACATTGGTATGAGAACCAAAGGCCCATAAATCTATGAGCAACCTGGTTTTCAGTCTAATGCTGATCTTCAAGCATCGAAAATAGATAAAATAAAGCTAGGTAACATTTTGTTAAGAAATAATCTGTTTAATAAAAGGCTCATCAGTAGCCAAACTTTTCATTCAAATGTGTTTTTCCATCTCCTGTTTGACCTGAGAACCAAAAAGCAAAGATCATGAATGGCCTTATCAGTTAATATTTCATTTTGTTGGTGTTGATCTTTGATCACCAATCTGGTCCAAAAAATCTGCCAGTTTCAACCTTGTCAACAGAGACACCTTCCCAGAATTTACTAGTCCTTTAGAAAAACACATCCCCTATTCATAAGAACTGTAAGAAAAGCCACTTTCAACAAAACAAATGGACAAACCTTCAGGAGGCATCCATGCAGTAAATGAAGGGTCACTCTGAGCCTGCCATTGTGTGGGCACACCATACGATCGTTTCTTTTTTTTCTTCGGAATGTCTTCATTCTGGAACAAGATACAAGAAAAATGAACTGGTGGAAGTACCTGCTAGAACTAAAGATTGTATTTACCCTTTTTGGACAAAAGGGACATGGATTCTATCACTTTCCCTTGCAAAGCAAAGAGAAGCAAACCAAGATATCTTAGTAATCTTCCCTTTTGTCATACATTTCTTTTTCTAAGGAGAATTTGGTACTGGATTGAATAAAAATCCCCTAATTGATATTTTCTTTATTCTCATCACTTGTCTTCTTGACATTGTATTGATAAATATATCTTATTAACCAAGCGCGAGGGCCATACTGGGAGAATATCGGCCCAAGGTCTTGACAGTACGGACCGAGCGCAGTGAGGTCCGTACAAAAAAGACAGAGGGCCGATATTCTTCCAGTACGGTCCCGAGCAAGCTTGGTTAATAAGAGATTTATTATACGACTAAACGGTTCAAGGGGACGCAAGTGCGGTTTCATTGGGGACCATTCGGAACAGTGCCCGGTCCAATACTGAGAGAATATTGACCGGCAATAGAGCATATTGATTGGTTGATTTTAGTTATTGGCCCTCTGACTGCCCGAGTCGTGTAATAATTAGTATTATTTCAGAGCTGAGCAAAGAGTTTCCAGTATGACGCTATATAAACTGCTCCAGGCAGTTTATATAAAATGTTAAAATAAAATGTTAATAAATGTTACTAAAATGTTATGATTTTAGAAACCTCTGTTGTTCAGCTCTGAAATTATACTAAAACAATTATTCGCCTCAGGTTCAGTGAATATTGTCGAATAATCCCCTCGACTTCGTCTCAGGGATTATTCGAAGATATTCACCTCGCCTTTGGCAAATAATTATTAATTATAAGGAGAAATTATGTCTTGGTCACTCATGGGAGTTAAAGGGTTCATTTTTATTTATACCATAACTCTTCCTGCCAAGCAGGAGGTCACAGGGTCTTAAAATAACTGAGATTGTGCTGCCTTCACATTGACCTTCACAAATTTTTAGACAGTCTAATCTCTTTGGATGAGGACAAAAAAAACCATAAGCCCTGCATCCTGCATCTTCTGTGTACTGGTTAGCAGAGGGGACATTAAAGAACCTATGCACTCCTTGCAAAGAGTAGGAAACATAGCTCCTGGTTTTGTGATCTGGCCTTGTTATTCTTTGTACAGGCCTTCATTTAAACCAGCGTTAAAGCTAAACTGGGCCACCCTGTCTAGATATTGCAAAATTAATATATGAATAAAACAATAAATTTAATATGTACTCAGATACAATGAATATATGAAGTTCATATATTTTGAACTGCGGTATTAAATACGTATGATGCACGATCCTTCGCAGTAGATAGCACTATTTATGCAATAGCGAAAATCAGACTTGAAAAAAATCAGGCCTGTACAGGATTCGAATTTTCATACGTATTAATATGTACTGTCAGGAAAATATTTAAGACATAGCTTACATTTTCTTCTTTTCTGTTGCTATCATCTTCCTGCACTTCCATCCCTCCATCTGAATTAACTCTTTTCCTCCCTTCTTTACTTTAGCTGTCTTCTACATGCCCAAACTTTTCTGTTTCTTCTCTGTCGACAGGCTTGTCACTCTCTGACGGGACTACAACATCCCTCTTTATTTTCTTTTGTTTCCTTCCACAAATAGCAGGCAAAACAGGAACAGCAAAATCTTTCTGTTCTGTAGGATGTGATAAGCTGTTGTCCAGGAGTACCTTTTCCGGTAAATGTTCCTTTAAGTTATCAACTCCCCTTTTGCTTTGTTTTTCTTCTCCTATCGTGGCTGAGAATGTATGTCTAGAATCTGTGTTTATATCTGTTGTTTCAGTTGGTGTAGAGTCACTAGTTTTACTTTCAGATTCTGTGCTCAGCTTTTTGCAATCACGATCAAGCGCTTGCCTGGAAAGCAAAAAAAAACTGTCACTAAAAGCAAACATCTTTATACAAGTATTTAACCTTAATGTATTACAAAAACCTGCCTTGAACTAATTGACTCCTTTACGTAAGTTTTAGTTTCTTAAAAAATGAAATTAGAAAAAACATCAAACCAAAACCAGAGTTTGAACCTAATTTAGAAAGGCAGCACTTTAAAGTCACTGCACACTCAATTTTAAACTTTTTAGACAAAGCTAAGAGTAAACGTTATCTAAAGGTGTTGCACCAATACAATTCCTCCCATACCGTACAACCTTTGTGATTTTGTTCCCTACAGTAAAACAAGTTCACCCCTACTTTTACCATAATTTGCTCCCAAATCTTTAAACTTGTTTCCTCGTAGCAGAACATATTCAATTTCTGTCTTAATCGTGATGGTGCAATAATATGATCATGTAACTTGCAATACGGAGAAACTTCTATAAATACACAGAAGTGAAGCTGGAATAAAAAAGCAAATGATTCAACATAAGGTTTTTAAATTTTCCATTGAAAAGTTCTCTTACTCTGCAACTGGTGGAAGGTTAGCTGGCTTGGTGATATTCACAAGTTTGACCAGTCTTTGTCTTTCCTTGAAAATAATAATACAGATTACAGGTATGCATTTATAAATCTTCTGATCGTGAACTTCGTCCTACCCTTGCCACTTATCATTACATGCATGAAGGGTAATTCACTGTGATTGATTAAGTGTTGTGAACCAAAACTAGTTGAAAGTTATAGACAAAAAATATGTATTGAGGAACTTATTGAGAAGGCAAAGGGGAAGACGTATTCATGTACTTAAGCTTTACGTGTGGAAAAGCCTTCTCAACCAAACACAGAGCAACATAAAGCAAAACCAATTTGAAAGCAATCTCAAAACATAAACTAAGAGGGTATGTTACTTTGAATTCGTAAAAAACTGTTGTGCTGCATTGTTTGGAGGGGAGTATAACAAGGAAATTTTGGTTTTATAAACTGAAAAAAACACAGTTACTAATATGGGAAATTGAAAGGTATTTCTAAATTCACCTTTTTCAGGTCAAATATTTTTCTTCTGATCTGAGTCCTTGCTGTCTTGTCCAGTGATGTTCCAAGTGAGCTCATGAAATTGTCTAAAGAGTCAGCATCTCCAGACACTGAACCATTTCTTTCTAAACAACATTGAGAAGTCAAACCAAATTAGACATCAACTGATAGAAATTGTTCTAGAAATAAGGGAAAGAAAGCTTACAAACAGATTCTAGTCCTCTTTGAATATCATACATAGAATTTGCAAGTACAAAGGGCTTGCAAGATATAGCGGTAAACAATTATAAAAAAGAATTTCTCATACCCCTTATCTTAGTTAACAAATCCACTAAATATGACAACTTACCTGCTTTATCTTGCTTTAATTTATTCTCACAATCTGATATTTCATCGTCCAACATCTGAAGCTTTGAAGTCTTGCACAGAAAATTAACAACATAAGTTGATTACCAAGGCAAGATAAAACACCCTCCACCATAATCTGCTGCTGCATGCCCAGAACATAACCATTTATAAGTTTGTGAAAGTCAACATAATCATGATTATAATAAAGGGCACTTATCTCAAAATGAAACTATCCAATCGAGTGAACCTTAGATAATAAGGAAATATGGAGATGTCAATTGTCACAGTACTCAATGGAAAGTGGGCCCAAACCATTTGAATTCATGAGTTGCAATGCATCAAAAAACAAACAAGTGAGTGCAGTGAACAAGTGAGTTTTTTAAGTGTCCCAACAAGTGAATAAAAATTGTTCAAGCACTTTTAATGGTAAAAGGTAAAGTCTGTTTACAAGCCTAGTGGCCCATTAGGTCGATGCTTAACTCCGGTTTCTGTAGCATGAGTAGTATTTCTACTCCCCCCTGGATGGGATGCCAGTCCATCGCAGGGTTACCCCCAGCATTAAATTGCCAGTACCCATTTATACACCTGGGTGAAGAGAGGGAGGCACTGTGAGAGTAAAGTGTCTTGCCTAAGAACACAACACAATGTCCCGGCCGGGGCTTGAACCCGGACCATTCGATCCATAGTCGAGCACACTAACCATGACACTTTTTATGGTATGATGTTTTTATTTCACACACAATGGGATTTTTTCTTACTGTCTGACCAACACATTTCAAGGATTAGAAGCAAACAACAGTGAAAATATGTTGTTTGTCCAATCAGAGACACAAATAATATTTAGTACTCCACAGTGCAAATCTCAGTATGTAGGAGCTAAATTAACATAAACATCAATTTATTTCATACTCTATCTAAATTTCTCACCAAAGATTCATAAGTTTCTGTGGTTGACTGATCTTTACCAGCACGCTTCATTCTTTGTATTCTTTTCTTTTCAACTATAAGGCCAAAGAATCAAAACCATTAACACTAAAACTCCAAAAATCTGATTGTTAATACTCCCCTCTGGGTGCTACACATTTCCTTGTACATTAAAAATTAATGTTATGTTCATAACAGAAATTTATCATCAGCCAATTCCAACTGACCTGATCCAGTTCTATCCAAGAAATTGTCTTCATCACTGTCATAAAAATCATTTTCTTCCCAATTTTTCTCTTTATGTTTCCTGCTCTCTGCAGAGGAAATATCAGAAATAAAATTAATAAATAAATACATTTTTTGCAGATGGCTATGGAAAATGCTTTGAATTGTGTTTTAGAAATAGATAATTGCCTTAACAGAAAGTCAAAAAATATAAAATACATCTCCAACATGGAAAAGACAAGTCAGAGATAAATAAAACAAATGATTTATCATGATGATTATCACAATCAACTTTGAATTTATCTGACCAATGCAAATATAAAGCTGTCCATTACCGTGAGAAGATTGTCTAAGGAGGCCAGCGGCATCCAGCATTCGACATGCCTCCTTTGCACACTCCAATACTGCTTCCTTCTTCCTTCCTGTGACAGCAGCCTCAGCATAAAGAGGATCACCACTTGGCCCATCAATTGGCAATCTATAAGAAATTTAACTGTGAAGGTGTAGTCTGATCATCCGGGTGAGTGTAGTCCTGAGAAGGACTGTTGTCGGTGGTAGTGACTGATGTTTCGACAACCTGTGCGGAAGTCATCATCAGAGTCAAGTGAAGTCATCATCAGAGTCAAGTTGTCGATGATGACTTCCCCACAGGTTGTCAAAACGTCAGTCACTACCACCGACAACAGTCCTTCTCAGGACTACACTCACCCGGACGATCAGACTACACCTTCACATGTTACCCCCGGGTTCAAACCATTTACTGCAAATTTAACTGTCTAGATCTCCAGGGTCCTCTGTTCCTTTTTTAACCATTCACACTCTAAAATCATTATCAATATGCTCTGTACTCTTCTCTGTACATTTACTTTAATTTAAGTACTGACAAGGAGTTGTTTACTAAACAAAGCTTTTAAGGTTGACAATCATTTCTTTTATTCTCATGACCTTAATAAATGATTCAGCAGTATTACTTTAAGGAGAATTTTGATGCTGGTCACTTGTTGGGTTTTGAGGGCTAATATTTAGTTCTTATTAACCAAGCAGGAGGTCTGTATGGGTGAATCTTGACTGAGGTCTGTACCAGCGATGGAGGTCAAGATTCTCCTATACAGACCGACCTAGCTTGGTTAATAAGATGTTTATTATATGGCTGTATCTTAATATGCCAATTTTTTATATTCTTTGTACCTTTTTTTTTTATAGACTGGTCTAAATGCCGGTCTAGCTGGGAAAATCTAGACCGCTTTGAATATTGATTTCAGCCAATCAAATTTGTGAATTCCGTAGTTCCCAGTCCTTGTGAGACAGCCATATAATAAATAAAAATATCATATCACAGCGATTGTGGTGTAGTGTCAGTGAAGTCATGAGAGGTAATGATTATGTCAAGTAATAATACTGTTATTTATCCTATTTATGGGTCAAAGTAATAATTAAAAGTAGCACTGTTTTATTGAGAATCCTTAAAACAAATGAGCAATTTCAAATACAAATCAAACATAATATAATGCAAATAACATTCAAGTCAAAAAGCCCAATTGCTACTAAACACACATTGTAGCCATGGAATTGGACTTGTGATTGTAAAACAGTAAATCCCCTTGAATGGAAAAGTGAACAATTTGAACCAAGGACCTCCAGTTTTTAAATGTAGCACTCGTACTATAAAGGCCATGCCACTTGCACATTCCAAATTTCACTTACTTTACTCTGCAGTGAAACACTTTTGCATGCCCAGGGCCCTTCTCTTCCACGTCGTACTCTAGCTCCAGCCCTGACAACCATAAAAATATAATAATACAGCACACTTACTCAGGTTTAATGGACATAGAACATAGAAAAAATCCACCAAATAAATTGGACACTTCACATAAAAATAAAAAAAAAACAATCATAATTATGAAAACCTTCTCTCTCGAAGAATCCCCTCAAAGTCTTCTTAGGATCTTTGAAATGATGCTCCTCTGCTTTCTCAATTTCCCCAAAATCAGGTGGATAAGCAGGCTCTTCAACAGCATCCTCCCCTGAAGAATTAGTAATAAATAAAGGGATAATCATAATTTAATTGCAAGTGAGCAGGTACATTACAATTAACAACTGTTGGATATTTATTTTTTACAGGGAAATCATTCATTGGCTGGACCACTCAAAATTTACATAATATGTGACGAACACCTGGGAATCAGATGCAGGTTAAAGCAAAGCAAGCCATACTTGAAGCATCTCTTGAAAACAAGAAAACTTACCCCTTTTATGACATCAACAGTGCTTCTATAACAGATTTGTAACAACAAATTTGTAATAAAGATAATTCAGCTATTGAAGAATACAACTGATTTGGTTCCTGGCCAAAATAAGACTTTCATTCTCTTTGAATGCAGAATAAATTGTTGCCCATTATAAATTATTACCCATTCCCCAATCAATTCCTGTTTCTTCTTCATTTTCTTTTCCTCCGTCTCTTTCTTTCTTCCATTCTTCATATTCCTCCTCTGTCATCACTCTGCCCACTTCACTGCTCCTGACTTCTGTTTGTTTTTCTGTTTGTTCAGCAACATTTGATTCAGATTCTTCACCATCTTCAGGGCCCTGCAGAAAAAAGCAAAATAACAAACATAGTGCTCTAGAGAGAAGCATATCTATTTAACCAAAATTAGTTCTTACTTGAGACTACGTGCTTATTAACTTTTCCTAAATACAGGATGGGCGCTTATTCTAGGTAAGCGCTTATTCCAGGTGGGCACTAATTTCAGATGGGCCCTTATTCGAGTTTGGGCACCTAAACGAATAAATAAACTTTGCGCGTGTGCCTTTATCAATACATGCAGCGTTATACAATAATCCATATCGTGAATGGATCGAATAAATCAAACGCGAACCACTGTCAGAATTTTTCTGCACCATTTTAGATCCATGTACTCGTGCTTACCTGGAGAATAAATAATCTAGAGCTTCCTCCAAATTTAATCACATATCCTACTCGCAATCTATAATAGCGCTTAGATTCAAGTCTTGACTTATTGACGAACGTTCCGTGCGTGCTACCAAGGTCGTAGAGATAAAAACCCTTCTCGCTGTTTGAAGTATCGCTCGTCTTATATTGAATCACTGCGTGGTGTCTAGAAACTGAGGGATGTTCTAAGCTAACATCACAGTTAGTAAGCCTTCCAAATACATGAAAAGGTTTACTAGTGAGATCAATATTTGATATGATGCATCCATTCTTCAAAACTTCCAAGTTGTACAATTCGTCTGGTAGACCACTCCACGATGGTTCCTTGTAGGGCAATTCTGGCGCCGATTCCTTCTTTTCCTTTGATGAAGTATTGGATTTTGGTCCTTCCTTTACTATCTTTTCCTTTTCTGGAGATTTTTTCGGTAAACTGGGTGGGGGCATACCATAATTCTCGCTGTCTTTTTCGATCGCCGTCTCCTCGACGTCCGCCATCTTAGAAATCAATGTTATATGTTGTGTAAGATGTATGGAATGTATACCGACGATACCGACGCAGATTATCAACCGGGTTCCCAGGGCCTTTTCCCTTGACAGGGAAAAGGTCCTGGGAACGAGGTTGGCAGATTATCTCTCCCATGCAGTTTGTCCTCGTTCTGTCGTCCTCGCGCGCACCTTTGAGCAGTTAGAAACTGTCTCTGCATAACATAATCTGGAAAGGAAAAAACTTTGAAAGGGCAAAAGTGCAAGTGTCTCATAATTTTCTCGTTTTCATTTTCTTTTCACTCATCATGTAATTAGAGGCAAACCATAAAAATATGGGTGATTTTTGAAAAAATACAGATATCAACAAACACCATTTTTATTTGTATGTTCGCCCCATCATTTTCCCCTTTATTATTATTACAATGGCACTTGAGTAATCTTTTAATCCCAAGCATAATCTCTGTTTATCACCTTACTATTTTGATGCTTTTTCAAGCTCACGTAAGGGAAAGATGAATATTCATACACTTACACTCTACATACACTTTATTGATGCTCCCTAAGTGGGCTTTTCAGCTCAATAGAATAAAAAAAATAAAAAAAAAATACAAATATATAAATTAATTGAGAATGTAAATACAATAATATTATAATTACAAAATATATATCAATAATATAATATATCAACTTAATAAAACATTTGCAAGATGACGTCTAAAATTCCTGGGGCATTTTAAGGACTTAATGTTATCATTCAAGGAGTTCCAGAGTTTGGCTCCTCTGAAAGCAAAGGAGCGCTGCCCTGTTGACAGGCGACATAAAGGTATATCCAAAGCACCAGATGATCGAGTTTGTCTATTATGGACTTGAGAACGTGATTTAAACATATCAGCAAGATAGTCTGGAACAAGCTTGTTAATACATTTGTGCATCATAGTAGCGTCATTTAGAATGAGTTTCTCTCTAATAGGAAGCCATTTCAACGATCGCAACCCATCCGAAATATGGTCATACTTTCTTAGTTTTAACTTTAAATTGCCACCTTTTTCTGTTTTGCTTTTGTTTGTTTGTTTGTTTGTTTGTTTTTTTTTTTTTTGCACTGTCATAGATTTCCTCACTTGTCCATTATAAACTGCTTTTCAGACAGTTGTCCATATGTTTTGCATGCAGTCAATGTATCATCACCTTTAGCATCAGTCTGGGTATTCTCCATACATATCTCTTTACATTTCCTAAGATGTTGACAGGGAGAATTTGTATAACAATCTTTCTCTTTCTCTTTTAGTTGCTCATCATCCACTTTATTCTTGTGACCTCAATGAGTGACTCAGGGGTAATGTTGAAAGGAGAAATAAAATGTCACTCTTACAAAAAGATATATCTCTTTTTTTCTCTCCCTCCACCCTCAACTGCTCTAGCATTTATCCTTGTTTCCTATATGGACAGAAGTCTTCTTTGCAAGTGTTGTCTTGTATTGTCTCAGAACACTCTCCCCTCAAACAAACTACTACTGCAAAGATGACTAAAACAAGAATCTGTCTAGTAATAAACACACCATTAATATTTAAAATACACAAAGTAACTAATCGGTCGAACAATTATTTATTTCTAATGAACAAATATTTCATACATTCCAGTGTGAAAAACAAGGCATTTCCTTTTATTTACATATAACTTTCACAACAGTGAGTGAGTACATTGCTGGTAGATTTTCAGCCCAACACTGTATAAAATTTATCCCTACTTATCTTAACACTTCAGGCAAAACTTACAATTTCCAATGTAGCTAATATGCTTTATCGAAAATGTTTTTTCTTTACCTGCTAAGCACAAGCAACAGAAGAAAGTGGGAAGCAAAAAGTTGGATGTATGAAAACTAGTGGTCACGTAATCTTTCATTTTAATTCCCTAAATGTACAAAATTGAATTTAAAAATATTAAGTTTTCCTAGCTAACCTACAAAGATTAAAACTTGATTTGAATAGGCAGTTACAAAATAAAAGATAACATTATCCTCTCCTCAAAAGCAACAATTATGCAATTACAAAAATAAACAGTTGACAAAACTATTAAATATAAAAGTTGACTCCTGAACATACTTGCTGTACAAAGGAAACGAAACTACATGTTTTTTTACGGCATCCACTGATAAAAACAACTGATTACTTTGTGATGGGAAAAACAACCAGCTATAAATTGTAAACAAACAAAATATGGCAAGCAATTAGTTGTAAACTTCAATCGCCATAAGTATTTAGAGAAGCATCAAATCTCACAGGAGGGCGTGACCTTCGCTTCTCTCCACCCCACCACAGAAAATCCACCAACTTCAATGTTTCAGTGTTTTCCTCATCTCGCATGACTGCGGGTTCAGTGGAAGATGAATTCAAAGTCTCATTTTTATTTTCTAAAGCAAATAAAACACCATCAGTCTCACATTCCTGCATGGCTTGATGAGAATGGACAGCCTGCCGAAGACGCTCAGCTTTGCTGTGAAGTTCAGGAAAAGACTAGAACAAAAACAGAAAAGAAAAATCATAGACCCATCAAAACAAAAGAAAGATTTACCTAGTTAAAAAGGGATTGAAAATTTCTTGACCATGTTGATGACACATTTTATTCCAGATAATTTAAATGAAATTCAGCTGTCTTTCAAAGGTCTCTCTTTCCCACACCATCACCCCTAACAAGTAATTAAGCAATTGTAGAAGCCCAGGGAAAAAAAAGGATCCAGACTTCTCCAACTCCTCATTTTCAGAATGTTTCCAGGGCCCAAAATTATGAGTAGTTTCCAAATAACCATACTTTTTTCTATGAGCTCTGTTATAGAAAAGTAATGTGAAGTGTGCCTGACTCCTAAACACGAAAAAATTTGCTGAGCTGAATTACATCAAGTCTTAGAAGCCACAGGAAACTAAGCAGCTCTCTTTCAAAAAGAAGACGACCAAAACACTTTTGTGACAAAACAGGCACTCTCTTCACAATCTAAAAAAATGCAGACAGACATCTTTTGTTTGAAGCCCCTCTTGAAATTACACATAAGTGCAAACCAGGGAAAAAGATTTCAGAATCATGTTTGACCAGGTAATAAATGCCACACTGTCCTTTTGCAAAAACTACCTCAGACCGCTGAGTCATTTTTTCCTAATAAAAAAACACGTACTTTTGATAGCTGCATAACATCAGATGCTGTTGCTTGCAATCTCTGTATGCACTCTTCCAAATCTGAAAGAAAAATGAAAATCAAACAAATTATTAAAAGAAAAACTCCATGACCATTCAATATATCTAGCACTAGCATACCTGGCTACAAACAGTAAATTTCAAATTTTTGCTGAATTATTCTTCTATGGATAACTGCCTGTGTTGTAAAACAGAAGGAACAAAAAGGTTTTACCAAATGGGAAATGAAAAAAAAAATGTTGCCTTACCAGGTGTTATGACACTGGTCCCACCCGACAATAGGTTGCTTTTAATCACCGGCTGATAGTGTTCCTACAAGTAAAAATGTCACAGAAATCGTAAGGATGCAATGTATTAACCCCTTAACTCCCAAGATCAGGGCTGGGCTGTTCAAAGCTGGGTTTAGATAACCCAGGGTAAGCTTGAAATTTGATTCCAGATCTGAGAGCCTTAAAAGAAAACTCAGTTTAATTCTTTTTGTCTACAGGGTTCGTACAGTTTTTCAGGACTTTCCAGGACCCTACTTAAAAATTTCAAGGACTTTTTGTAATGTCAATTTTACCTCAAAACCAAGAAAAATGTTTCTGTTAACATCTATGTTTTGGGTTTACTGATGATGCAAAACAAAAGCAGATATTTTTCGATGTTGTTCAATAAAAAATCAAGGACTTTCAAGGACCCAAAATGAAATTAAAGTACTTTCAAGGCCTTGAAATTGGCCTCCTGAAATTCAAGGGTTTTCAAGGGTTTTCAAGGGTTTTCAAGACGCATACAAACCCTGTGTCTACAATTTGACGATTGGATGCTTTAAGAATAATAGGGAAAGTTATCCTAAAAAGGCTCCTGAATAGAGAAATAAAGAAACCTCGATTAAAGTTTAACCCTCTGTTAATGCTAATCGGCCTTCGAACAACTAGGCACTGATTGTTAATTCTCCTCTCTAACTGCTATATACTTCCTTGTAAGCTAGTTATGAGAAGTTGGTGTTAGATCAACAAAAAAACTTCTACCTGATAAGTTTGAGTATTCTCGTTACTTGTTTGTAGGATAATGTATGGATATCATTAGGAGAAGTTACATGTTAATCACCACTGGGAGTTACGATGTTAACTGATTAGGTTGTTTGTTCTCCTATGAAGATATGAAAATTGTACTTGAACTGCAGATTAATGAGTGAAGATGTGTGATCATCCCAATTATGAACACTACTTAGCAGCAGTGGAAAAAAGAACCTTTAAGTTTTAATTTCACTTCTGCTTGAAAAGTGTAAGTCTGTGAATAAAGCTATGGCTTGGTATACGCAAACTGCAGTTGATTATCTCACCAAAAATTCCTTCTGGCTCTGAAGAATGTTGCTGACTCCTTCAACGACCTGTTGAGGATACCTTTTTCGTTTCTGAGTGGTGTCTCTGATCATATCTTCCAGGTCAGAACATATTTGAAGAACTTCTGTAATTCTGTCTCTGTTAAGGGGCTCCATTTCTGCAAATTGAGGATCAATAAATTTAATCATTAAAGACAGATCAACCATTTTTGTGAATACTTGTAACACCAAACTTGAAGAACCAAATAACTTTGAAAGTTCTGTGAGTTAGAGTCCTCCAGCACTGCACAGGAATTTCAAATATACCATACTTCAAAAGGGTGGTTAAGAATGACAGGCAGCTGGTGGCTTTGAAAGCCAAGAAGGCCTTATCTTCCCAAGTATAAGCTCCCCTAAGAAATTTTGACAGTTTAGACTCTAACAGTTACATTTTCCTGCAATTTGAGGTCTATTCAAATTTATATGTTGTTGAAGCGAATAGCACGAGTTTGATGATGGGTTGCCTCTAGAAACATAGCCTTACTTGACAACGAAAATATTGTAATTTGTGTATGGTCCTCCAAGCTGGAAACATCTTAGTTGCCATGGTTAGAAAAAAAAATTAACGGCCAAATTTATCCCAAAAGTCACCAATTTGACAATCTGAACTACTTTGAGATTTTGGTTGAAGTTAAAGAGAGATTAATGTTAGCTTGCAATGCTATCTTTTTTGAGACACCCATTCTCTATGTCAAAAAAATTCCTACTCCCCCCACCCCAGTTTACAAGTTCCAAGAATCTCCACGAATTATTTCCAGCCAGGTTGCTTGTTTCAGTGACAAGCGGTGTGTTTAGCTGTAGAGTAAATCGTAAAATAGCAACATTTAGTTCAATGGCGACTAAATGAAAATCTTATTTCTGGCGAGCATTTTATGACTCAAGTTCGCCAAAATTTATCATGGCAACTTGATAAGCGTTGAGCCTGGAGCCTTGGGTCTCAGGCTTTATTTTCACACACACATACGCTGTGATTAAGGATCACTCAATTCTACAAGATATAAATTTTTAAATATGCATGCACACACCTTCTTGAAGAAGAGAACTACTTGAATCTTCCAGCTGGCCTGAATTATCCCACGACTGACCGCCAATGACTACATTTTCTTGCATAGTCTCCTCAACAGATTCCTTGTAAAGCTTGATCAAGCAAAAAGCGACAAAAAACAATCGAGAATAACATTTATACGTAAACTGCTAAATTGCAAAGCATAGAAATGTAATCTTGGCAGCCTGACACTTTCCATAATGATGAAGCTAAAATTTTTTAGCGAAATCAGAGAATCCTCCAACCTCGAGCAGCTTCTTCTCAAAGTTCTCCTTCTGTTGCGTAGTCCAAGACTTCTTGCTGGCTATTTCATGCACCTCCTTTTTAATTTTTTCGTGAATTCTGAGGACTGTTTGTTTGCTGTTCACTGGGACTCTTTCATCGTCCGCCATTTTTGTTTTTTTAGCGCTTTTTAGACCGCGCATGAGCAGCTGTTTGCTAAGCCCTTTGGGATGGCGGAGAGTTGAAAGCTGTTTAGGATTTCCTGCAAATCGCCAGTGAGGTTTTTGGTGCTTTCGCTTGAATATTTATCGCCTTTCTACAGGCTATTTAACCATAAGCTTATGAAACGTTCAGGAAAATGATGGAGTAAGCTCTTTTTTTCTTTTCTTTTCTGTTTTACAATTGTCTATCTAGTGGGTTCGTCTGGTGTTATCTTGTCAAAACTTTAAGATACAAGTTAGGAATACATATTTCAGTCTGGTAGTAGGTGCTTTTTATGAAGTAGTGTGTGACCTAGGAAATGGGAAAAAAAAACACAGGGTAAAGTTGGCAAAAATATACACTGACATGATCTTGAACTGAAATGATTATCAGCTAATTAAGAAGCTCTTGATTGTTAAACAAATTCTCCATGTCAGCATCTTAGAAAATGTCAAGAGAAAAGTATGGAGAATATGCATACTGATGTTAGGGTATAAAGGGTAAAGAAAACCCACTGGATTTATTCAGGGATAACTTAATAAGACTCACAAGCAAAGTCTAGAACCTATATTTATCTTGCAGTATTGACGCCATGGACATGGATAATAAGATTAAGGGAGCTCACTTGAGAGGGACAAAGTATACTGTTTCTCAGGATGGTTTGTGTCCTCGCTGTGGGAATTCAAACAGGCTCTATGTCATACTGGATAAGTATGTTTCTCCATCGCTGTGAAGTTTGATAAACAATGAACATTTCCAGGGCCCCTCTGGATATCAGCCTCGTTGCTGAATGGGCCACCCTGGCTAAATAAAGTCTACCTACCTACCTAATATCCGAAATGTTAATGTACCTTGAAAAAAAAAAACAATCAAGTATTAGAAAAACTTGACCACAGACAATTTCACCCATTGACTCAGAGGGAGACTAGCATTTCATTTCTCCTTATAATATCACCTTGGAATCACACATTAAAGTCATGACAACAGAGGAAATAATCACTAATTAGAAGCTCTTGATTGTTCAACAAATTCTCCTTGTCAGCACCTTAGGAAATGTATAGAGAACAGTATGGAGAATATGAATACTGATGCAAAGGCTTGATAATGATTAGTTTGTTGTTTGGGAGTAGCATGCTTGTCTTGATCCCTAATGCGATTGATCGTAGCTCTTTATATTTCTAATACATATTTCAGGTGTTCATAGTTTGCTGTACTGTAGATAGAAGATTAATTAAAGGACTTGCTTATAAACCTTGTTGAAATCTTTTGAAGAAAAATTTGTAATATCTTTTAGATTGTTTCCTATGGGGGATATGCCTGAAATTCTTCACACCCTCATAGCCAAAGGAAGAGCTGTTCTGTGGTCAAGTCAAGAAAAAGAAGGATATAAGGTGAGGGTATAGTAATTGGGAATAAAAGAGAAATGAAGGCAGTTGTTCAATAGTTCTTTGGGCAATAGGCCATTTCCCAGCTCTAGTAACACTTGCCTTCAAAATGAGGCTAAGTTTAAAGGCTGTCTGGTAAAAATTAGGTATTTGTCTATGGATAGAAAGAATATTTAATTTATATTAAAAGCTGTGTAGTTACATGTACCCTCAGTTCAAACGAGAGAGTTTGGAACATCTGACTGATAAATTAAACTGGCTGGGTGTTAAATCTCTACCAAGGACTCAGATTTCCTTTTCCCACACTTGTGATAAATATTTATGAAACATTTAATAATCATAGGATCCACCCACTTTCCTATGCCGAGGGTTCTGCCCCCCTGATCCTTTGGGTGCTGGATTTAATGTGAACTGGAGCAATGTTTCCTTGAGTCAGATTTTGGAGTCTCTAGACAGGCCATTGCAGGTGTGTAGTAGCATGTGTTGTTTTGTTTGTTGCAATTATTTTCCTGGCTCTAATTTATAACAGGCTTGGCTCTTAATCTGTTTATCCTATAATCTTAGATCTCCCTATTTATCTCTTGAATGTGACTGAATCAAAGAACATTATAGTTAAACAACATGTTTAAATGCTATGTTCCTCAACTACAAAAAGAAATTACTTATCTATAAAGTACAGCAGAGTGCCTTTTAATGTGTGTGCAGTACACTTTATTTACCTTGAATCATGTAAGTTTTGCACTCGACTACCATTGGATATCTGTCTGTACATGATACCCAATGGCTCTATCTGTGGCTGTTGTGGAATAGATGGTCAATCATCATACATATATCTTTCTTGCATCAATTTTACCCGAAGAAGGCATTAAAACCTGTATCAGGCCCAGATGAGAGTGGCTTTCAAGGTTAGTATTCTCCTTTTTTAATAGTTTGAACATTCAACATATATGTCAATTTATATTTTTGATTTTCATACATTTCTGATATTGCAATCTTGTTATTCTATCTTTTTACTCCATCAATGTTAAAAAGATTTCAACCTTTTAGTTTTTTGTTTCAATGTTACTCTTTTGATTGATCAAATTATGTATCCAATATGTTCTTCAAGCATATTAATGTTCATATCTAATTTCACTTTTCATGCAAACAACTAATGAAGGTTCCAGTCAGGGTGAATCATCAGATAATGCTTTACATGTTTTGGATGATTTTCAAGGCCAAAAACGGCATGATAAAGGAAATGCTTCTCAAACCTCAACAATGCAAAGTATGTATATCTTCTTGTGATCACATCCAATTTTGTGTGGTTTACTTCCTACATTACATTAGATGTTTGTGTTAAGTTGATGAGTTCTGATTATCATTTCATGTTAATTTCCTGGAAAATAAATGAACGTTAGAAAAACATTGAAAAACTTGTGAGAGGGTTTATCTTCTATCTCAACCCTCACAGGTTCGTCAGACAAAGAGGAAGAAATTGAAGAAGATGATGATGATGATGATGATGATGATGATGATGATGATGATGATGATATTGATGAAGAAGAACTCATCAAACAGATGCTTGCTAAAGAAGAGCTAAAACTGTCTCAACAGAGCAACACTGAAGATGCGGATGAGGAGGAAAATGCAGATCATGAGGATGATAATGAACAAAAAGAAGCTTCTTCTGTTGTGTTCAATTCGGACAAAGTTTCAGAACCAAGTACATCATCAAACAATTTGATAAGTAGCTCAGTCATCACTGTGACAGCATCAACAGCCCCCACAATATCCTCTGCAACAACAAGTAACACAGCACCATCAACAGAAGCTAGCAGCTACCCTGTGTCATCCAATGGGCGTTGCCCATACTGTGACTCATCAGATGTTAAATATATCATTATAGTGTCAGAAAACACCAAAGATGGCGATCTACCACAAAGTCTTCAGAAGTTGCTCAAAAGAAAGCAGGCTTTTAAAATGGCTAAAGGTGAGGTCAAATGGGTGAGCCCAGATAGAAGGGAAAGGGAAAGCTACTTTTTAGTGCTCCATAATCAGTCTTCTTCTTTTCAGGTGGTAACCTGTAGTTCTTCTTATGACTGCCTAAAATGGCTTCAAATTTTTGAAAATTAAACAGGTAAAAGAATTGCTCTACCAGTCTGAAAATTTATTTTACCTGTTGTGCTTAAAATGAGTCATGACAGTCTTTATCTGAATCGGTGAGAAATTGAAATAAAATTTATTTCTTGCAATAAAGGATGACAAGTTATTATTTGTGTTGTTTTTTTTTTTAACTATTTAACGTACTTGTACATATCCTTCTATGTGTTACTCTCTGTTTGTGTTCATTGCGTGACAGTTTTTTACCCAAGTAGAAGGGGTGGCACATGTAAGAGTCTTGAAATAGTTCAGTAAAGATTCCAACCACTTTATTCTGAGAGGAGGGACCTGCTCACTAACATCTATTTAATTGTACATCTGATTATTTGAAATGTTTATAAATCTATTTTTTTCATTATGGAATAAGACAAAGTTTTGTGGAAGTAGTACAGGGAAAGATTGAGAGGCAGGACAAGCCACTGTAGTAGCCAAAGCTGGAAAACAAATATTCATTGTTTAAAGAGGATACATATGTACTTGAGACTGTTAACACAGCTATTTCATGAAGTCAATTTTCTCAACTGCCCTTTGACTTTGGCACATTTCAGTAAAAATGTCAGATTTTCCAGTTAATTGAACTTGAATTTACACTATTTCAAGAGTTGACCTTTATCACTGTGTTTATTTTACAAGAAAACCCAAGACCAGATATTGCCACTAACACCCACAATTAAGATTACTGTAAAGGCTCTGTCCCCCTCCCCCCCTCCTCAGAAACTTATAAGTATTCAGAGCCCCCAAGGAGAGAGGTCAGGCTGGTCAGAGAGGATGCTTATTTAAAAACTCACAAAGTCATTGGTTTTTTTCTTTTTGGTGAGGTTTTTCTGAGAATTAATGAATATCATGTAGAAAATGCTTTTCCTGTGTTTTCCCCTACTAAAAGGGGCCTTCAAATACCAGACCAGTGTAATTTGTTTTACAGAGCCACCCAGCCCTAGGTGGAACAAGGAGAGAAAATGAAAAAAAAATTTTCTCTTTCCATTAATTTATTGATTATATTAATTTTTTAACAATAAAGTACATAGATTGAGTGTATCTTTTTGCACCCTGAAATTGTGTAGTCTCCAAAGTTCTGATTTTGGATTGATCCTATCAGACTCCAGTTCCTGACATTTCAACCATACAGTCTTTGCTTTGTCATGGATGTGGTTGATAAAAGCTAAGCTTACAATGTAATTCTAAATGACATCAATCCATCAAGCTTATGTTTGGTGTGGTTAAAAGTATTTCGCAATCTCAAGGGACAAATGGCCGAGACAAATTTACATAACCTTAAAGCCAAACAAAAACAATTATTTCCATTGTTATTTGGAGTTGCTTCAGCTTTTTGTTCATTTAATTTTGATGGACAAACTGGTAGTTCTCTTGTTTTGTAGTCCTTTTTAAGGGTATCAGTAACACCACAAACAAAAAGATGGATTTTAAAACAAAGTAAGGAATGCCTTCATCTGAAGATCCTAAATGATGATGCATTTGGGCCAAAAGTTTGATGAAAATTATAGGTGAAAGATACTTAATGAGTAACATTTTGAAGTGAACTGTCAATGGATTATTTTTGCATTTCTGATGTAATTTGTACAGCCTTAACTCCATGCATTTCTCAGTGTTGTGTTAGTATCATACAGTTGTATTGTTTTTGATGAAGTTGATGCTGAATTTGAATTGGGACCAAGTTGTACCCATAAGCTAACTTGTTCTTTGGATCTCTTGCATGACATACACCAGGTGATAGCCAACCACCATCTTTCCAGTGCCAGAAATGTCAGTATGGTTTCAACCTGAACTGGTCCACTACAAACCTTGAATTCATCTTTGGACTGCCAGCTTCAACATCTTAATCCACCGTAGCCACAACAGTTACACCTGCCTCAAACAAATTCACCAAACAAACCACTGTACCTTACAAACAACCTACTGGAAACCCATCTTACCCTCCCCCTGTGGGGCTTCATCCAACAAGGTACCTACCACCTATTGGGGTTCCTCCACCAGTTCCTTACCATGGGTGAGTGAAAGATGGTTGTTATCAACATCTTGATATGTAGTTTTTTTTCATTGACTTTTTTATTTCTTTTTTTTTCCTCTCAGCTACACACCAGCACATCCTAGTTATTATGGATCTTGCTATCCCCCTCCTTCTGTTCCACCACCTGTTGGGACCTATCGTTCTTTCCCACCGACTGCACCACTACCAATAATCCCCCCTCCTGGTATTTCACCCCCGGGGGTATTTCCACCTGGTGTTCCACCCACAGGGATACTACCTCTTGGAATTCCCCCACCTAGGATACCACCTCCAATTATACCACTCCCTGGGATGCTTCGTACCATTGCACCCCCTGGGATACCCCCTCCAGGCTATCCCCCACCAGCCATTACTCCAGTCCCCTCTGCAGGTGCATGGGGAAACTACCCATACCATACTCCTTCCCGTTACCCACCCCCCCCATCTACAAGGTATGGTCCAACTCCTGTTGCAAGTCCTCGTCATCTACCACCAACACAAGTCAGACCGCTAGTGCCCTGGCAGCAACTTCCAGTGAGTGCAGCAAAATCAGTTCCAGCCCAACAGGATCCGAGTTCCAAGCAAGATACTGCAGAGGATAATAGTAAAGTAGCAGCTGCCCGATTTGAGATGGTCTTGAACCAGATTGACCGAGCAAAAGCCCGTGTTCGTAACGAGAAAGAACACCAGAAGAAAGAGATTCCGAAAGAAGATCCAACAGGCAGTCAGGAGTATGTAGCAGAGCCTAATGCACTCACAGATGAAGGACAGCAGATGGCTGAATATGACGAAAAGCCTCCAGGTGAAGATGACACAGGTAAAAAATGTCACATTAATTCAGCCTCAAAGAGGCTATTTAATTTTGGTGCCAGTTCTGTGGGTGTCGTTTTTGAGGAATAGATGAAAATATATAGCTGATCACTTAATGGTTTCAACCATTCAGTGATACTCATTCATCTCGTCATTCAGATTCCTTGTTCTTCGTTTAGGGTCTGTTGTTCTTTCTCTCTTTTCTTTGTAATAGGTTTTGAATGTAGAGTCATCATTACTGCATCTGAAGACAATAACTTATTTGTTCATGAAGAAGTGGACACCTCTACCGCTGAACAGTCCGTGGCAGCATCACAAGAGACCCCAAGTGATGGTGAAAAATCCGGAATTGAAGGACAGCAAGATGACCAGGATAATGGCCAGTTGTTGGAGAGTGGCGAGACTGAAAACAACTCTACCAGCGGTATCAATAATGAGGATGCTGGTGGTATTTTGCCAGAAACGGTGGATGCAGCCGCTAAAGAAACAGTTCTTACCAAAATTGTACGTTCTATACCCTCTGAAAAAGAGGAAGTGTTACCCGGTATGCAACCTGCTCCTGGCAAACGTACCCGGCAAACTCGGAGGTCCATGAGACACGAATCAGCTACCTCAACGGAGGATACCGATTCTACAGCAACCATGGAAGAAACTCGTGCAGTTCCAGGAAGGGCGAGAAGGTCCCGAATGAGTGGAGCACCAAGAAGGATGGTGGAGAACCTGGACATTCAAGATATTCATGATAAAGAGTTTTGTGGAGGAGTGGAAGTGAGCGACGTTGAAATGGCTGGATCATCAGAGAAACTGAGTCAGAGCAGTGCTGCTCCGGAAACTGAAAGTGACTCCGAGGAACGGCTAAGTGAAAGTTTAGTTTCTTCTTCAGAGACAGAGACTGCCCCAGCAGGTCCACGGCGAGGTAGGATGGGACGGGGAAGAAAACGAAAACAGGAAAGCACTGAAATGGAAGAAGTGGTCCCTCAGCCACCGACGAGAAAGACGCGAAGGAGAGCTGCAGAGACGGAAGGTTCATTGTTCAAGGAGAGGGTCAGTGAAGGCGACGAGAATGCTGAGGACGAGAAAATGTCCTTGGAGACTCCTGTTGTCGTGAGCCAGGAGGAGGAAAAAGAAGTGGTTTCTGAAGGTCCTAAGATAGAAACCTCGGAAAGCTCTCCTATGGATGCAATCGTCGAAGGAACTGCAACTGAAACAGAAGGAAACGCGACGTCTAGCATACGCACCGACAGACGACAAACACGGAAAAATGTGCAAAAATCACAAGAACCAGAGGTAAGCACAACGACTCGCCAAGTAGAAGAATCTTCTGCTGAGACAATGGAAGAGGATGAAGCAATGGACGTCGGCAGAAACCGTAGAAGTCGTGGTAGGTCAGATCCAAGAAATATCTCACAGCGAACAAAGAAATCTTCCGTCAAGAGACAAACACGGACGTCCCTCCAGCCGACCTCACAAGACTCTGACATGACGAACACCGAGCATGTTTTCCTCAACGATAAAGCGATAGAACGTGACAGTCCAGGGGATGAGGAAAAACCCACGAACGACCAGTCGTCGGATGACCAGAAGAACGTCGAAGCAACCGAAGAGAAGACTACTCGCCGAACGAGGGCTGCTCGGAAATCTTCGGCATCAACCGAAGATACTTCGGCTAATACACGCATAAACGTGCTCTCATCTCCGAAATCCGACAGTTTGACAACAGAAGAGGTCGCTGGTAGCTGTCAAACAAAATCCCACAATACCCCAGAGTTACTTAAGGTTAAAACACCGAACTCTGACACATCTAACAGCGAAGAAGCTGAAAAGACACCCAAAACTCGAAAATCACGGAAATCTTTGGACGTAAAAGAAGAAACTCCAACGGAAGAGGTTCAGATGTCCATCAACTCCGTCACCGCTAAGGGCAGCGTTTCCTCTCGTCATTCACAAAGAAAGAAACTCACGTCTTCACTTCAAGAGGCTACTGCATTGTCGCAGGATTCTATGGTCAATTCGGTGGGCGAGGAACACATTGAAGGTAAAGCATCTTCAGCACTCCCCAAAAAGGTTTCTCGAAAAAAAGCTGCCCCTGTGGAATCAGCAGAGACTGTCACTAAAAGAGTTACTAGAAGTCGACAGAAAAAGTGATGAAGTCTGGAAACGTCCCAGGCTGGTTGTTACTAGTCATCTTGTTGTGTTGTTGTTGAATACATTCGACTGAGGAGTATTCTATAATTACGTAAACCCTTACTGGAGATATACATAGTTGAGAAACGGGCTCCTATTTCCCTATACAATTTGCGTGAATGAGTTATTCGTGAAATTTATAAAACCATGAAATGCTGATGTTACTGCTCTTTATTTCGGTGATGAAAACAGATGTGGTATGTGAATTACTAGTTGCAAACCTTTGGACAAAAACTTTATCGTTACAGCATTTTGATATACACAAGTATGGGGCAAAAGGTATTTTGAACCAGAGTATTCCCTTGCGGGAACACAGGTGAAAGTAGGTAACAAAAGCAAGGCATGGGTATTGTATGTTATAGATCTTTTCTGAGAACAGAAGAGAAAAATCTTATATCCTGAGTTTGCAATAACGGGATGATTCACTTTAGGGTTAACCGTAATGAGGTAATTAAGTTTAACTTGTCTTTTGGAACCGAACTTTCAGAAGAGAAGGTGTTGTAATAGCCCAGTCCCGAATTACTTTTAGCCTCTTTTTCAAAGCGAGTCCAGGTGCACATTCTTCCATATGGTGATAAGTGTTAATTCACATGCAAATTAAACTTATTTTCATTCACGTGCAAATCAAACTCATTTTCATAACAGTGGTCGAGCACCAGGCCTCGTTTTGGAAAAGAGGCCAAAGGTGGTCTAACGTAAAAACCAGTTGTGATATGCCGCATTACAGTGGAATCCCGATTTCTTAAGTCTTTCAATGGTCACTGGTAGGTGTCAAACCTCACTAAAAGCAACTTCCAGCGTCAGGCTGTAAGCTCTCGATTTAAGGTGAAAAAGATTCCGGCCGTAAACCATCACCTTTAAACAGATTGCTGTCTACGTAGCGAAATAACGCTTTAACTTTTGACAAATCCGGGGTGTAATCGTTACAAGACAGGTGCACTTGTAAGTTTCTCAAGTTTTTGCGGATTCGGCAGGTTTCTTGATTTGAGAGCCCGAAGTATATTCTAACCGTTTAGCGCCTTTTGTCCACCCTCT